AATACTTGTGACACGCGTTGTTGGAGAGCACCAGACCTTGTCTTGGTGTGTAAAGGCTTTTGACAAGGAGAGGAGGGGGTGTGCAACCCCAGAGCCCTTTCACGTCCATCTAATTACCAGCCAGGGTCACTCGAAGGGAAGGGGAGGATTCCATTTGTGGATTTACTATCGGCTCGCTTGGAAGTTTTCCGTGTGGATATTTGACAATTCAGAACACCCACATCCTTAACGCTCCAATTTCTGGAATAGTTGCATCTCACTGATACACGCCAAAAGCCCACTGACGCACATTTACAAACACATTATCACCACCCACTTAAATCCACATACATGTTTGTACTGAAAGTATAAACCACTTTACAGCTCAGACACATAGTCACAGATTTAAAGCCTATTAGTTGTTTTTTTTCACTCGCGGATACCACCAGAATGGAGGTCGGGTGGACAGGTGGGGGGCTGTAGGAGTCCAACATCTGTGTCCCTCTGTCTGTCCGCTTTACCCAAATGGATGTTATTATCTCTAAAAATGTGTTACTTGGAAACCGCTGAAAGCTTTTTGCTACGATTCTCTGACAGAAACGGTCACCGGGTCCTCGCCACGGTGCACAGCTGGAACCACAGCTGAAACACCCACCATTACTCGTCTTTTTTTGCCTTTTATCTTATCTTCATCTTCATCATCTGCCCTCACCCCACCGCCATCATTTTTTCCAACGGATCTTTGGGCGCCCCTCGTCGCCCTCCTCGGCCCGTCCTCTCCTCCACCCTGGAGGGCAGGGGGTCAATGGAGTGGAGCATGAGTGGGTGCCACTATCCTTCGCCGCCGCCACAGGAGCAGGAGCGCAGGTACCAACACAAAGTATCCCTGGTGGTGCGCTACTTCATGATCCCATGCAACATCTGTCTGATCCTGCTGGCCACTTCCACACTGGGCTTCGCGGTGCTCCTGTTCCTCAACAACTGTACGTTGGTTCAACAGAAACACACTTACTTTCACTACACTCTGGGTCAATCCTTGGCAATATAGTGCTTAACATAAACCCCTAAGTACTGGTGCTGCTTTTTTAGACAGAATTGATCTGGAAGTATAATGTGTTCCATACTGTTTTTGCTTCATACTACTTACCAAAGAGCTCACTTGACCCCTCACATGACAGTTTTAGCTGCACTTACATTATTGGCATTAGTAAAGTCACAAACCCCTTTCCACGATTGTGTCTGCAGGCATGCAAAATGTCTTCTTTTTATCATCTCGAAAGATTTGACATTTACTTTGAAGTGTGGGTTGAAGTATTGAATGGCGACTAAATGCCTTTGGAGGATAAAAACCTATCTGTTGGCCTTGCTTTACTGTATATGGACAGCAAAGTGGCTCATAAAGAGCAAACTTGGGGGCTTAAGTAGTGGTTCAAAATGGATGGTGACCATCACAGTTGTTTCTTGGGTCAAAGAGTTTTCTGACGAGAGGGGTAATTGCTTTAGTTTACTTCTGTTAATCCAAATGCTTGCTTTCATTTGCACTGGTAATACTCTTCTATTTATTTCAAATGGAGCCCTACCAAAGACAGGTTCACGCCTTTAGATGCTGATTGTTTGCCTTCACAACATGACTTAAATCATTTACCGAAGTATATGACACTTCTATTATCCACCAACAGCACACCTGCAGCTGTTTCCCTCTAGCATTTGCCTGCTTATTTTAACACTTTTTCATTTTACAAGTCTATTCCTGAGTTCCTTGCCAGTTGTGGCTGTGTTAAAGGTGAACATCCTCTTTCCAAAGTGGGCTATTATTTATGCAAGACTAGTGCCACATAATCACTTGCACAGGATAATAAGGGAGTCAAATGGTAAAATAGGCACTGTCATTCCAAAGCCGCACAATTGGGGCAGCACTTTCAGTGGGGAGGCTCATTAATACTCTTTGTCCGAGGTTTCTGTTCAATGTCAACACATTCTGTTAATCTGTTATCTGGCTGTTGTCTTTTTAGCTACTGTTTGTACAAGGCAAAGTCCTCAAAACCTGGAGGATGCCACTGTATTGATCTACCATCGTTTGGTGGATTTCTGTCTTTCAATCATCATTGTCATCCACTCCTTCTCCTCGTAATGTGTGGACCAGGAGTGAGGAGAGGAGAATGAATCATTTGTAACCTTGCCGTATTGTCAATTTCAGCGAGACAGATTCTATTAGATTTAATAAGAATCCAGTTAAAGGAGGGCCAATCTTAACCTCTCAGATAACTGAGTGAAAAATAAACGTGCACTAGAGAAACTGATGAAGTGAAAGGGGCTCTATTATGCTGCCAAGAAACCTCTCCATGTTGCAACACAGACAGCTGGATAGGGTGGTGATAGTGCTCGTAGTGGTGACGTGTGTGTGTGTGTGTGTGTGTGTGTGTGTGTGTGTGTGTGTGTGTGTGTGTGTGTGTGTGTGTGTGTGTGTGTGTGTGGAGGGGTGTTAGAGGCAACCCCAGATTCGCTCTTTCCATTGTCACCATATGGGGTGAATCATGTCCACACACAGTAACCCCCCTCTCACCAATACACTCCCGCCTGCCAACAGAGCCCACACACAGATGTACACCCTGTTTATCATTCTGTATGATTTCCCATCAACCACACCAATGGGGAAGATGACACACATTCACTGATACATACACGCACATGGCTGAATGTCACAGTCAGACACCTATTGATTTGCTGAAGATATAAGGTGAATGATGGCCATGTTCTGACATTCACACAGGCACGGGAACTCACACAGGCTTTGCAAGGTGCAAAGGGAGATGGGAAAGGCTGATATGTTTATGGAAAGACCTTATCTTGTCCTTTCATTATGGAAATGTGACGAAATCGTTTAGCATCGCCCGGCACTCTGTACGCCGACTTCTCTGTCAGCCTATTTCTGATTCCCCTTGAGCGACAATACCTCTGTGTGTGTTAGCTCGCATGTGTTTAAGAATGCTTACGAATGCGAGACAGCGAGCGCAGCCTTGTGTATATGTGTTTCTGTGTGTGCTCCTTTACACTCAGTCTCAGCAGAACTTCTTGATTTCCCTCATGCCAATTTCTGTTTCTCTCGTTTTATATGTTTTCATGAAATCCCCCCCAGATGGAAATCAGTTACCGTCATGACTGACTGGGAAACAGCTTCAGCCGACACTTCATTATTCACCTCTAGCACCAGCCTCGCCTCTCCGCACCCCTCGCCTCATTTTTTCTCTCTCGCACACACTTCCTCTCCCTTTCTCCCCCCGAAGCCCCGGCTGTTGACAAGCAATTTTAAGTGAGCCTAAATTTAAAACTCAGCTGTGTCTTGGGACGCCGATGGGTATCGCAGACGTCCTGAGAAAGGCTTCGTCGCAGTGGTTGATGGAGCCCCGGAAAAATGTGTTAGCGGGGTAATTGATGTGATGTGTTTTATCTTCCTCATTATCCCTCACAGTGAAGAGACATTGGAGGGATGGCTTGGAGGCTACACACAAGTGTGTGTGTGTGTGTGTGTGTGTGTGTGCGTGTGCGTGCGTGCGTGCACGCGCATTCAGTGCTTTCTTCTCTGACAACCTTTTGGTGTTCTTCTTAGTGAGTCAGACAGACGAGTTGTCTGCGAGAGTGGGGATGGAGGTTTGGTTGTTCTTGGTGCTCCAGTGCCCTGATGGCTGTTTTAATGCCATTATAATGTAAGAGTCTTCTTTCTTTGGTAATTACTTTGTATACTTTAAAGTGCCATATAATATATATTTAATGTTATCTGTTGGTATTGTTACTCCAATTAATCTGGATCGATGTATCATTCCAATGATCAGTGATCCTACATTGTTCATACAATGTGAACATCTAGCATTGTTAGTAGCAAAGCTTAACAGGGATCGGGAGCAAACATCTAATCGCTTTCCGAAAAAAACATCTTATCTTGTATTATGATAAAAACTTTAAATTTGCATCACTACTATCTGTTTTCACTTTGCATATTTGCTAATCTAAACAAAAAGCAGATGGGATTAGTTGTTTAATCAATTGGCCAATTAACACAAAAGTGAATGTACCACAACTACTTATTAAAAGTTGTTTTTCTGGTTCCAGCTTTTTAAATTAAAGGATTTTCTTCAAGTTAAATGAAAAATGTTTTTCAATATAGGCAATTTGAAGACATCCCGTGGGCTCTCGGAAATTGCTTTTTCACAAATTTCGGCGAATTGAAGCCTAAACAAAAAATGGTAATGTTACAAAATAATTTGGGGAAAAATACAAGATGGATTGACAATGAATGAATAATTGAAAATAAATTAAAGTTGCAGCTCTAACAATATCCTCTATTTCCATCACAAACAAAACATTAAAAACAAACTAAAAGTCTTTAATGCACCTTCTCATATTCCAGCGTTTTGGGGCCAAACTGCAAAGAACTCAGGTTTCATGGGATCTCTCCCCTGAGTGTTACTAGATACTCAGTCATCTGACACTACAGGTCTTGTTTTATGGTTCCCACCGGCCGACAAGCCTTATGTCATCGTCTGCTGGGTGTTGACCAGGAGAGACGCATGATGTGATTTGATATATTAAGGGGGGGAGAAAGCCTGATTTATTCTGCATATGCTTGCTACAGGGACTAGAGTATATTCTCACTGATGTCCTCACTGCTTTGGAATTTCCAATCTTATCTTCCACTTTTCAACCCAAAACAAAGACACAACCTTGTCCCTGTGTTTCCAATTCTCATGTGATCTTAGAATATCAAAACTCATGCTGTGTGGTTTGGGTGACGAGACCAAACAATAATGAAAAAAGAATGATAATGCTAGCTCTGAAATGTACTCCCGTCGATTAGCTCTGCTGGGTTCCTGCTTGTCCCAGTCCCTGCATTACAATGTGTTGGATAGAAAAGGCCAAATCTAGCCTATTTTTTGGTGCAACTCAATTACTTGCCCTGCCCCCCTGGGAAGTCTGCGAATTCCCCCCAAACTAAAAACACATTTCTCTCTTTTTATCTCTTTCAGACAAACCTCCTCACTTCACACCAGCCCAGCCTCCTGATGGTAAGTCCTCTGTGGTTTATCTTTGCTTGCCTCCATTGACCGCTTGTGTTTTGCGGTTGTACCTGTGTATAATGAACTCAGACTGGCCGATCCCTGCCTTTGAAGTGGGCCGCCGTCTGTGCCCCGTGTCAGATTTTGCCACTGTGCTTTTTTGTTTCCACACAGTTGGTATGGCGGGCACGTGGCCAGGTCTGCTCAGGGCTTTGATGTGAGAAGGATCTTTTGATGACTTGATTTCGAATTGAAAAATATTGGAGAAAACCGTACTCTTACAGCTGCAGTCTTTTATACATGCACACAATATTTTTGATATTTTTCAGTCCGGTTTTAAAGCGCTTCACAGTACTGTGAAATTAAATATAAAGGAGAGCAAAACAGAGGTCATTGTGTTTGGGCCATATGGTGATGTCCCTTCCTACCTGGGTTCCCCGCAACCGTATGCAAAACCCATGGTCACAAATCTTGGCGTCAAAATCGACAGTGCTTTAAAATTAGATAAACAGATAAACTCTGTGGTTGAGTCCAGTTTTTATCACTTGAGGCTCCTGTCCAAAATCAAACCGGTTTTTATCCTTTTTAGACTTTGAGAGTGTAATTCATGCCTTTGTTTCTACTCGTCTAGATTACTGTAATGCACTTTATGCCGGCCTAAACCAGACCACGCTGGCACGCCTGCCTTTTAAGATTATATTGTTTGTTTTTAAATCGCTTAATGGGCTGGCCCCTCAGTACATCTCCGACCTCCTACAGGTGTACACCCCCTCAAGGGCTTTGAGGTCGGCTGATCAGCTGCGGCTGGTAGTCCCAAAAACAAGGAAAAAGACCAGGGGAGACCGAGCCTTCTCAGCGGTAGCCCCCTTATCTTGAACAACCTGCCCCCCCATGTCAAATTGTCGGCCACTCTTGAAGCTTTTAAGCCCCGCCTAATGACCCACCTCTTTTCCCTCGCTTACGAGTCAGTCTGAGTTATGTTTTATCGATTTGTATGCTTTTATTGTCTGTCCATAGCCTTTATGTGCCTTGTATTTATTCTTATGTGTGCCTTTTATCATGTGTGCCTTTTATCTATTCGTGTAATATTATATTTTATTATAATGTTCATTGTGAAGCACTTTGGCAAACCCTCTGTTTAAAATGTGGATTGGATTGATTTGATCTGCTCTGCACGGCTAGTTGGGCTGATGTTCAATACATGTTACCACAGCAGCATTCACATCTGTCTGATAGGGTCTAATGCGATAAACCCACCCATCCCCCCTTTCCTGGGTATTCCTCATCACCTGAGGCTCCTCTGGGTTTGTAGGCCCAGAGCAGCAAAATCACCTCACCTTGTTAGCCACATGTTCTCATCCTGTCACACACATATCAATCTTTGCAATGGCTGCTTCGCTGTTTTTAGTAGTTTTCTGGCTCGGCTTTTAATTATAAAAAGGAACACTTTATTTCCAAAACAGTGGATCTCTGCAAGCTTTAATTGGAGGAAAACAGCTGTTTTTCAAGCTGCTATCATGAATATTTATCAGAGGCAGCGCAGTGTGACAGTGTTTGATAGACTTTGGTGCCGTATTTTTCTTTTTACTGCACTGACAGACAGCCAGGAATGGACTCCTACTAGTTCTGACGGTGTTGTATCATCCTGCTTGTGTGCATGGTACAAAGCCAGAGGTTTGGACGGAGAAAACAGGCGGAAAAATGTTTCTAATGATCCCAGCTGGCCAGCTGATGTCAGGGACAAAAGTCCACAGTAGGGGCTTTCTCAATCTGTCCCAGTAATTGCTCAATCACTCTCCACATAGGCCAGCCTGTTTGGAAAAGCGGTTTGCGACAAGATGGCATTTAATTTTTTTTATCAAATTAGAGGTGGTTTACGATGAATGTGATTGTCTGGCATAGTCTGAAAAATACAGCAGGTTATTCACTGTTCGATGTGAAATGACTGAGGCGTTTGGGTTCAACAAATAATTGTGCATTCATTTGAGCATTTGTCAACTTGGCCTCACCTCAACACCTGAGGAGTGTGAGAGATGCCTATTCGTTCTCCTTTACACCGTTAACAGTAGCTATTTGTTTTTGTTTTAATGGCAGATGAAATCGACTTGACAAACGATTATACCTCAGATAGAGGTCTCTATTTGCCTGTTTTTGAAGCAAATATTGCCATACAATCTGCTTTCCACTGGGAACATTAGAAACAGTGTGTGCAGACTGTGAAGCAGCCCATTCTGTCTTCCATTGAATTTCTCCTACAAAGGAAACAACGCCCTGCTTATCGATTGAGCCACTCATTTCCCATGTATTAAACTTTTTGCTGTCTGAGGGGCACAGTTTGTTTCCACACTAGTCAACCATTTAAAAGCTGCTGCTAGCCCTTAATTACAATTCCAATAGTTCTGTAGGCTTTACATCAGCAGCCTTTGCTGCTTTAATATGCCAAGGAAAACAAAAGGCAAAGTCTCCAATCAGCGGGGTAAGCCTGCCCGGTAGGACGTAGTTTCTCCGGGTCATTTAACTCTGGAGAGATTAGTGAGACAATTAGAGTTGGCCCAAAATAAGACAGTAGGCCACTTTTTGGAGACGCATGGTTTTAGTAGAGGTGGATAGGTGATTTAGAAGATGCTGTAGACCAGGAGAGAGCTAATATAGCCCATCTATTAGTCAATTTGCGCAAAAGACCAAAGGTCTTGTTCTACTGAACTTGTGGACAGTGCTCAAGGATGCTCTGCTCCCCAGTACTTCATAACAGGAAATCAGAGACAGGATACCAGGGAGTCTGCATTTTTAAACAGCCTAATTTGTCTCTGAACTGCCGTTGATGAGACGTCCTTATTAGCGCTGGGAGATTCTGCTGAAAGTGAAGGAATTTGTTCTTCAAATTAGAGCGAGAGAATCTAGGGACTCGCTTGGGAAAATGCAGGATTGGCACAACATAAGCAAATCTCTTAGATACTGTTTATGGTGAGCGCCTCCTGCAAATAGCTGACGAATCCTCCCCAATGAATGGCCTATAATCACCAGTCAAAAAAAAAGTGACAAAAGTCACAAAGCAGCCTTTAATTAGGCTCGTTCTTTGAAAGCTCCAAAGCAGCAGTTGCTTGGGCTCGGGCCACATTCATTATTGCCTGTCGTCTCCTGATAATAAGACAGTTGTTGCGTGTTTGGCAAAAGCTGGAAGGCTCTGAGAATGTTCTAGCTTGAGGGATTAGTATTGGACTTTGGAAAGGGAGTCCATTCCGGAAAATGCTTGATGAATGAGGCTCTTGGCGCTTAACTGTCAGCGTCCACATCCAGAGAAATCATGTTTATGCATTGGTCAAGGGCATCTGAAGGTGACAGTAGTATCAGATACCTTCTCTGGTAGTTTTTTTATTAGAGATTTATGAAGAGATTACTTATCCGGCTGGGTATTTATGTCTTGTGATTTATGCCAAATCTGGTTGTAATTGGACAAGGACAAAGAATAGATACCCTTCCTCAATTGTGTCTCAGGGGCATTTAGACTGAGAGAAAAACCAGGTGTTGACGGTTCCCTGGAGCCATCCTTCATTTCATCCTTTTACAACCTTGGGCGACTAAACACTGGCCAAATAAGATCCAAATTACGCAGGAGACAGGACGTTTTTATGAGAAACAGAGCGTCAGTTCAGAGGTCTTCAGCTGTAGCCGGCACAGTCTGCGTGGCAGGAGCCCATTCGCCGTGAATACTTCCATTTCACATTCGTCACTGACAGTGTTCCCCAGAGGATGCTCCTTACTGACAGACAAAATAAACTCCTGGACAGAAATGTGAATTGTTCCAAGATGGTGGGATGCCAAAGAATAAAGGTGCCTGCGGGCATACTTGCACTTTGAGAACACTACCTCTTTTTAAAGAATTGACATACCGGTAACTCTTTGTCAGCTCTGGGAGAATACAGTAACTAAGTGCTCCACACCCATTAACCCTTAGATGTGGGGGAAGACACACACACACACACACACACACACACACACACACACACACACACACACACACACACACACACACACACACACACACACACACACACACACACACACTTTCTCTCCTGTAATTTATTTCTACCGGAGCCTTTCCCTGTGTTCTTGACAGTAAGCTCGGAGAGAGGCAGAATTAATTATGGCTCCTCGCCCTATCTTAATTAAATCATTTCACATCATAGATTTCACACAACAGAGGAAAAATATCTACCTCATCTTTTAGCCCGGGCGGGGGCGCCGGCTGCGAACGTATCGCATCAAGCTATCAAAGGTTCACTGTTAAGTTTCATCTCCAGGATTACAATTTCACAGAAGAGTTGTCATGTCGGGCTTTTACCGGAGAGCAGGATGTTAGCCAACTATTGCAGGGGCTGGAGGGGGGAGGGGGGGCGCTGATGGGTGCAGCAGGCAGCCTTGACTGTATCAACAGAAAAGTTTGTTGCCCTTTTAAAGTACACAAAGCTTTCAATTGCACAGCTGAACTCTGTATCCTTGGTTAGGGTGCTATGTCTAGTTCTGTGTCTGTTGACTCGGCGGATGCTTTTGAGATTCTCAGTATGATGTTTTTTGTTCATCAACAAAGGTAAAAGGCAATGAAATTAGCCAAGTCTCGTCAACAACCCACCTCTAACCGACCTTGTCAGCGTTCAGGCTCGACTCTGCTTGAAGTATCTGCAAAAATATGTTAAAAGCTGTCGTCCAAAGAGAGAAAAACAATACTCAGATACTAGAAAATTGAGTGGGTCCAAACTATTTTCTTTTAATTTCACTGAAACAGTGATTATTGAAACAGCTAGCAATGCTTTTAAACGTTCGAAGGGCTGCAGAGTAACTCCCGCCACTTGTTGACTCAGGTTATTTCAGGACTTCGGACTTTGTAAGGTTCAGCAGTTGTTTGATGTGGACGGAGAATACCCTGAGCTATCTGCGGCTGTGATCAGGAAGCTGTCAGCCAGAACCAGATAGCCATCTCGGATTTGTTGGCATCGGGCCTCTCTGATATATAGAAACTAGACAGAGGTGTGATCTGGACTACTGAAATGGGACGTATCGGCTTCAATTCGGCTTTTAAACGTCCCCTTGCTGCCGTTTAAATGTTGAAAAGCCAGGCACACAATGCAAGAAAATCTATTTTCATTGTGTGTTTCTTAGTGCTGCCTCATGAATATAACTCCACAATGATTAAAGCTTTCTTTGATGGAAACTCTTTAAATTCAGCCAAACTTTGTATCTTTTTCTCACATCAGAGAGAAAAAAACAAGGGAAAAAAAGAGAAATTATGCAAATTTCGGTACACCAGTTTTGTGGAATGAAATAGAATGTAGTGGGATAGAGAAAGCAGGCAAAGTATAAATCCATTCAAGCTACCGTAATTCATAGTTTCTAGCTGCTTATCGAAGCCCTTAGTGCTCAGCATGGCTGTGCAGAGTTATGGTTGAGAGCCCACCCCCTTATTTCTCAGCTCTTTGTCATATATTGGAAGTAATTAGCTTGCAGAATGGCCCTAATGTCACTATAAATTACCTCTCTATGTTCTTCGCATGTTGAAGGCGACGGCGGCCATTCACCGCCATTGAAAAGCCCTTGTCATTTATTCCCTCTCATTACAGGCAAGTTACTTCAAAACGTGACTCGGTTGTCATTCTGTTCAAATCTGTGATGTGTAGGCGCTAATTTAATTGTTGGGGGACAATGTCAAAAAATAAGCACACATGGAAGTGTAATCAGTCGGTACAAATGTCATTGTCAGGTTGTTAATTAGAAGGAAATAAGTGGCCTGTCGTGTCGACGCGTTGCCAAACGATATTGCGCTGTGAAATCCCGCTGGAAGTTATGGGAGCGTTTTGCTCAGTGCTGTGATAACAATATCA